GAATAACTAAAGAAATCGATTTATTTTAAAGGAACCATATGATTGTATATAAAATATTAAATGTAAACTTGACATGATTTTAACAAAGTCAAAGTGAATAACATCATCAGACTATACAAATTATTTGAAACATTTTTCGATGAAATCCTTGATTTTCGAGAAATTTCAATGCGTCATTTGAAAGGATATATAAAACTTATCTTTATCTCTACTTGCATTTCAAAAGATAATAATTAATCAATGTTGTTTCAATATTGTAGCAACATAAATTAATGTAGAAGAAATAATTTAGATTCAACGTTGGAAAAATATTTATATTTCAACATTTAACATTACAACATCTCAGCAACGTTATTTCAACTTTCTGTGCTGCATAGGTTACTCTGTCAAAATATTGCGAGAAAGAAAGAAGGAATATTCTCTTTCTTTTATGAGCACGTTATAGTTATAAGTTAAAGTTTGATTACTTATACAACATTATATCAATATTAATCGCATTGTGTTCGAGAGCGAGGATTAATTTCTAGAAATAAGCGATCGAACGTTCTAGAACGTTCGGTCGATCGTCAGCATCGCGACAGGCTCGCGCTAGCCACAGCGCGAGTTCACGTTTTTTTCGCTCGGATTTCGCTCGCTGGTCGCGGTTGCCATGCCGACCACTCGCGCAAACAAACAAACATTCGCGCGAGACAACTCGCGCGTTAGATCGCCGCTGTTACCAAGCGGACCTTATTTGGCAATTGTTCTAGAAGATTCGGCAACCGCGACCAACCAGCGAGCGACCTGTCGCCAAGCGCTTTTTCGTTAAAAGCTGCCCTCGTCGACGACGAGAAGAGTCTCGCTTTTCTCGTCGACAGAATCACATCGCGGTCCGGTCTCTGATCAGCTGATCTCCGGCAACGTCGATTGACTCGTCGAACTCGTCGCGCGTCCGAGTGATAAACCGGAATTCAAGTTCTCATTTCGGGCCGGCTATCCTTCCGTGACCGCGAACTTCGTGGCTATCGCGCCGCTCGCGAGATTCAAGAGTCGCAGCATCGCCGCGACTCCGCTCGAGCGCCGGGAGTTTAAATCTCTCTCGGGCCAGCTCCTTGTTCTTGTTTGCAAGTCGGCGGATCTCGTACGCCGCTTGCCGCTCGCGCCGTGCGCGCTCTATCATTCTCGGCCTCCGCGGCCTCCGCGATCACCGCCCACGGTCAACCGGACCGTGGCTCTGCGAGAAGTGTCGCGGGTCATCCACTCACTTCATTCGTACATTAAATTAAGTGCGCCTTGTTTATCTGTGTAATTTCGTGTCTCAACATTGTTACTTTCAAGTTCTCGAGAAGTCGTTAGTTCGACGGCACGCGGACGCGCGTCAGGGTCGTGGAAGATCTCCGTCGCAAGATTTCCGTCCGCGGAGCGCCAGTGCAACGCTCAGCAAGATTTCCGTCGCGTTCGGCTGACCCGGCCGTCGGCAAACGAAGATTTCCGTTTCGACCTTCTCAACCGTCGAACTGCATTCTCGAGTCACAGTGTCGTGCAATAAAGAAAAGTGATTGTCAACAAAGTGTTCAATTACTCGACTCGCTCACCTTTCCTCACCGCGCCCTGCGCTGGGCGATATCAGCGCGTTCGCTCGCTGCCCGGCGGGAGCTAAACCCGTCGGATCCGCCACACATTGTGATTATTTGATCACACACTTCATCATTACACTTTTTGAAAGATATAAGAGTAAATTGTAAATATAATCCACCAAGATATTGTTACAGCGCATCAGCGTCACCAGTTCACGTACGATCGTTGAAGTCAAACGTTTTGGACAGCGTACTCATCTAAAGATGGGTAACCGCCCGACACGGAATCGAAACCACGCGAGTTTCACGAATAAATAAAACGACACAAAATTTAAAATGCCATTTTTTTAATTGTTTAGACAAAATAATCATTATTAATTATCTGAAACATACTAATTAGTAAGTCGTTGGAATTTAACAAAAACAAAAAAAAAAATATATATATACAGGGTGTTCGGAAAGTACCGGGACGCCCGAATATCAGGAAAAATATAAGTTTTACAAAAAAATGTTTCAGACAAAAGTTGTGGCGTTTAAAAAGATGTATTTACTGATCACATCAGTTTGACCTTGGGTTGCGTAGCGAAGGTCAGGTCAAGGTCACATTAATTTTTTTAAATGGAACACCCCATTTTTCATTGCATATTCTTATAGCACATCTCGAGAGCTTTCCAAAACGCTATAATAAAATATTTTTTCGTTAAGAACTTTTCGAGTAATAACACTTGAAATTTCCAGCACTTTGACATAGAATACAAAATATCTCGTAAAATATTCTTCTTTCGGTTATCTTGTCTTAATGCTTTTTTGCACAGAATAATGAGACAAATTAATTGGCTTAAAAAAAGCACAAAAAGATTTTTATATATTTATGTAAAAAATTTTTTGTTTTTTTTTTTTAAGCTAATGCTTTTCAACGCATCGTCGACATTTCATAACTTTTAACCCGTTTGAGAGTGACACTTTTTTTTTTGCAGAATCGTGTTCTACGCATGAAAATATACGATCTGACGAAGTTTTATGCAAATCGGTGAGAAGGCCCCTCTCCTTCATAATTACCATTATTTTGAAGAGTTATTTTGACATCATTAATGAGATTTCAATGTGTTGACATATGGGATATCTTAAAGATATTCCTTCTTGAGAAATAATTTTGACATCTTTTTGTGATATCTTTCTCAAGAAACGGCGCATTAGATAACATTTTGTTATCGTTTCGAAGTCTCTTCATGTTATCAGATTCCAGTACTGGGATTCTGTAATTCGTTATTGAAGTTAACGACAGTTTCGTTATCGTTGCGCAGCTTTTGTATACCGTAGAAAAGCTGCACAACGATAACGAAACTGTTGTCAACTCTAATAACGAGGACAGAATCCCAGCACTGATTCAGATATCTTTTCAGAGATGTTTTTGATAACTTTTTGCTCAGTGGGAAGGTGCAGAAGGAAGTGCATCTATATATATGCATTGTTACTATATATTTATTAGCAAATGTCGTCCTTCAGTCTTAATTTTAACGTAAACATATGATTACAGTCAGGGTTGAGCACGTATTATACTGAGATATTATACTTTGTATTATACACTGTATTATACAGTATAATACAGGGTGCGGCGCCAAAATCCGGACAAAATTCAATTTGAAATTCTCGTCGTTCTATACCACTGGTAGATGTCGCGATTAGCGTTCAAATAGCTTGACGCATGTACTAAACCATCAAAACCTCGAAACAGTCGCAATGTTGAAACCAAGTGCGGAGTATAACCGAAGAGCCACGGTTATCGAAAGTGTTCGCGCTGGGCGCTCGGCGACAGAAATCATTCAGTTCTTCGGGTACCCGAGATCGACTGTGTATGATATCATCGCAAAGTACAATGAGTCGGAGAAGTCCAACGAAGGTTTTTTCCGGCGAATGTTCACGTGCTAGGGGTTGTATCCAGTGAGGGTGATGTCATGCCACCGCATTTCTTTAACAAAGGGGAAAATGTCACAAAAGAAGTTTATTTGCGTGTTCTGACAAATGTAGTGAAGCCGTGGATGGAAACTGTGTGGTCTGGAAAGCCGTATGTTTTCCAGCAGGACGGTGCGCCCACTCACACAAGTTATTTGGTGCAAAATTGATTGTCGGATAACGTCGACATGTTTTGGTCGAAAGAATTCTGACCTCCCAACAGCCCAGATTTGAATCCTTTGGACTTCTATGTATGGAGCGTAGTTGAAAGGGTCACGAACAAGTCCAGACATCCAAACATCGCATCATTGAGAGCCGCTATTGAAGCGGCATTCACCGATATGGACCGTGACACATTAAAGCGCGCATGCGCACGCTTCAGACCGAGAATAGAGGCGGTTATTTAAGCAAGTGGGGGATATATTGAGTAAATGTGTTCTTTATGGCCTTACAATGTGGTTAAAAAAATTTTGTAAACCTTTTCGTTTTTGCAATAAAAAATATGTTTGGAAAAAATGTATAATTTGTCCGGATTTTGGCGCCGCACCCTGTACATTTAGTTTTATATATATATATATATATATATATATATATATATATATGATACTTTCTGTGGCGCCATCTCTACATCATGTGTGTAATTAATTTTAACTGCGTAATTATTGTAATTTTAACTGCGTTCCTGCGCGAACTGCGTTCACAGCCAGTATTGAAAATCTATAGTTTATGTCACGTACACTATAGGTTTTCAGTATTTACAGTAAATATCAGAATGCAGATTTTATTGGGGATTTGCTGGCATCATTACTATTATTCTAAGTTCCATATTTTGAATTCTCTTTTATCGCTAAAAGCGTTTCTAAAAATAGCTGATAGCCAATCATAAACTATATAAAGCCATTTTTAGAAGTGATCAAGTCTATTCTTTTTCGTTGCACTGGTGCAATGAGCGTGAGACAAACATATATTTGTCTCACTCCAACTTATTTCAGCAGTACAGGGCTGCGTTCAGAAATCCTACTCGAGTAGTAGAGTAACATTTAGAAAGGAGGTCTGTTCTTTTAGCTGAACTGCCTGAACTGGTGCAATAAGTGCAATAAGTTAGGGCCTTGGCATTCGCCTTGGCAGAAAGCAGAAAGATAGAAAGCCAATCAGAACTCGCGCTCGTAAAAAAACAGAAACTATCAACTAGATGATAATCAACAGTTCTGTTTTTGTATGAATCCTAGATACACGTTTTATGCGTTTTTATATGTATTATACCGTATAATGTAAAAAACCCTAGAGAATGCAAGAAAAATCCAACCCTGATCACAATACATAGACTTATCTAGGAAAGTAGTGATACCAACAGCAATAATGTTATTTAAACATCAGTGAAAATCTATTGTGGACATTCATTTGGATATTTTAGCCAAAATGTATGGAAATAGAGCATAGATGGTTTCTGGAAGTTTATATCACGCGCAATAGCATCATCATTCATGTAAGTTACAGGTTTACTTGGCGAGGATTCGATCGAAGAGATAGCTGAATCAGTGGACGAGCTACGAGAAAAACTCGCAAATATGAAAAGACTTATGGAAGAGAGAAAAGGCACGACATTGGGTGAAATTAGCGCCCGTAAGAGAAAAGAGACTTCCGATATAATAGATGGCAATTTTTTGTCCTGGATTTTTGGGGCTGCTCTTGTAGTAATCTTAAGTGTAAGCGGTTATGCTTTCTACAATCTTTTTCTTGCAGTATTAAAAAAGTTTCCGTCTCACCATACAGAATTATAAAGAGAGGTACGTTATAACTGGTAATTTATAATTTTCATGAAAGTATTATGACATATATAAAAATTATCCTTACTTTGTAATAAATTAGAATCAGTTATAATTAACTTAGTAATATAGTTGTACATAATATACTTAGTTAACAATCAATAAATTTTAGAATAATATGTAACCTAATGTTCTGGTAATATTGTTAATGTGATTTATTTTTTAATAGTGAGCAAACTTCGTGTAATTTAATGTATAAGTATTGAAGAAGAGATTGGAAAAACTTTCCATGTAAGTGGCGAACTATATGGTATATTTTTGGTGAAGAAAAATGAAGTTTAAATTAAAAAAACCTTTATAT